TATCTATCTATCTATCTATCTATCTATCTATCTATCTATCTATCTATCTATCTATCTATCTATCTGTCCGTCCGTCAGTCCAGCCAGCCATCTAGCTATCAGTCTGTCTCCCAACATTTAAAACTGAAAAAATGGTTAAAAACAGGCACTTGCTATATATACACTCGCAAAAAAAGAATCACACTTGATTTTGAATGATCAAAATGGCCACCATAGGAATATGAAAATACAGAGCAATAATTTGGGGTACATTCTACAAGTCAGCTATGATGTTGTAGTCTTTGATCATATCTAAATAATATAGATTCAAATGCAAAACCTATTAAAAGTAATTGTGTCTGAAAATACTATAAGCAACTAGGGAATACACAGTAATATGTATTTTTATATAGGTGTTATAAAGGCACCTACTGGCTACACCACATTATTACATGTACACATTTTCTTTATTTCTCCCACCAGATGGCACCAATTAATTGCAAATGAATTGAAAATAAGATTACATGTATTTTTCTAATATTTGTATTGACTTTAGAGGTGAATATTGTGTAGTACCATGAAATCCCCTCGAAATACAAAATATTGAAGAACAAATATTATGGAAACAAAATTTCACATTCACATTTCACATTCATTTCAAAATATTATGCTTAATACCTTCAGTCTGTTTTGACTGCTGTATGGGAGGAATACCAGAGGGTTCAAGTAATGATAAAACTGTTTGTAATGTTTAGACTGGTTCAAACTGTTTTTTAGTTACGAGCATGATGCTAGCATGTTTCTAGCATGTTTAACAAGTTGCTAGCATGTTTCTAACATGATTAGCATGTTACTAGCATGGTGTTAACATTTTGTTAGCATGATTAGCAAGTTACTAGTCATGTTGTTAACATGACTAGCAAGTTACTAGCAGGTTGTTAACATGTTTCTATGCTAATCCAACTAAAACCAGATTCAGTAAAAAAACAGCTAAAGATCAGCTGAAAACCAGCTAAGACCAGCCTGACCTGCTAAAAAAAAGTGTCCAAAACCACTTTAAAACTAGCTTGAGAGACCAGCCAAAGCAGCCAATCAGCTTAGGCTGGTTTTAGCAGTTTTTTTTCAGTAGGCAGTTGTTAAGCTTTGCTATAGCAATAGAAAGCTTAAATAAGATTCATCGTACAAAAGTTTTGACCCCCTCAATGAAAGTCTATGGGATTTTAGGTGGTTTTGATAGTCTGGTTTACGAAAACCGTAAGCCGGATCAGTCAGAAAAGATATAGCAACCCGAGTCAGACCAGTCTGAAGGTATGGGCCGAGTTTGGTGGTTGCAGCTTTAAAGGTCTAGGAGGAGATACACTTTAAAATTTGGTCTCAGAAGAAGAAGAAGATAAGTGGATAATAAGCAAACTCAACCCTGTGTCACGGGTCATCAAGGAATAAGGACAGCAAACGACGATGAATAATTCCAAACAGACTTTACTTAGGATTCTGACTTGGTACAACACATAACATAAGCTAATAACCGATGAAGGATAGAACAGAATCAGGACTATAAGTACACACAAGGTAAATGAGGGAAATAAGCAGGAACAGCTGGACAAGGATGAACTAATCAGAAACCATGGTAACTAATGAGAGCTCATAACAGACATGACAGAAACTGAACTAAACTGAACATAATCGTGACACCCTGCTGAACCTATACAACTTTAGAAGCTGGTTAGTTCTGGTTTAGTGCTGACTTAGCTAAAAGACCAGCAAAGATATTCTGTTTGACAGCAAATGTTTGATGGTATACTGTTTGGTTTTAATACTTTATCTTTAACTAAAATGTTGTTTTCAATGCCATTAGATAAAATTTGATGCCATATTAGAGTAAAATTGACAAAAACTAATGAATATAACATAACAAAATACTGACTAAATTTAAAGTATGATTAAATATGATTAAACAAAACAAAAACTGTAAAATAATTAAATACAAATAAATTATGCCGCAAATAACACCAAATTTACACTTTAATTATTTAATTCAAATAAATCCGTAAAATAACAGAAAAAGTACTGGCAGCTCATTACACATGAAATTATCCATTAATTTTACAAACATTTTTGTTAACTCTAAAGCACAATGCAATGCAGTGTAAAATTCAAAATACTGGTAAAAAATTTGTAACAAATAAATACGGAAAATTTCATTCAAATCATACAGTATATTGTATAGTATATTAGAAGTGCCTTTTTCTGTTCTAAAGAAGGGTGTGTGCCAATACATTTGTCCATATGCATGTACAAGTCATTGGTGTTCGGTGATGAGTTTCTGGCTAAAGGTCTGCATTTAAATTCACACCAGAGGTGTTGAGCTGGGATTAGGACTTGGCTTTGTGCAGAGCAGTCAAGTTCTTCCACACTGACTGAATCAATCGTTTTTTTTTTAACCTTGCCTAATACAAAGAGGCATTGTCGTGATAGAATAGAAAAGGGTCCGGTTCATAAAATTACAACAACTATTGGTATAAAATCAGAAGCACACAATTCCCTAGAATAGCATTATATGCTTAAACATTAAGATTTGTACTCACGGAAATTACTAAAGTAGTCAAACCTGTTCATTAGAAGGGGGTGTCCCAATACTTTTGGCAATATAGTGTGCAAGCCAGCCTAGCTATTCAAAATCTTTGTCTGCAATTTATTGACCTATTACTTTTGCTATTGCTTTTGACCATTAGGTATCAGTAACATAATGCTTTCAGTACCCGTTTTATGGACATAGACTTTCTGTACCACACTATTCTGCTGATATGGAATGAGTTTGACAACTTAATCAGTTATATTAATAGAAATGCTTCACTGGGGCAAACTAAAAAATCCTAAAATAATAAATAGGATACCCCATAACACCACCAGCATTTTCAGGAGTATCCAACATTTCTCAATCAGGATCTTACTCAGCTAAATGTGACTATTAGCTTAACAGCTGTATTCCTTGTTTGCTAGCTACATACAGCATACAATGTTAAAAATGTTCTACATTATGAACCTTGTGTGTTTAAAAGTGCGACTACCCAAATCGTCCTGCTCGGTTTGCCCCCCTCGAACTCGAAGACATCTCTAATTTGACAGTTTACCATCTTATCTCACTCGTGACTCTAGGCTATGTAGGATGGGACGAAACCATGCAGTGAATGGGGGGGGGGGATAATTTAGCTGGAAATGCAGAAATAAGCAGTAATTTTGTTTTATTTGTAACTATTTGGTAGATACATTTATAATTTCTATTACATTACTACTACTGCTGTTACTACTAATAAAACAGATCTCTGGGGGGCTCTGTTTGCTCTGTTGTTTACTTCATATTTTGAAAATGAAGGTTGAGATCAGTATTTTTTTTAAAGAAATTAATTCATTTATTCAGCAAGGATGCATTAAATTGATCAAAGGCGGCAGTAAAGACATTTATAAAAGGTAAGAGATTTCAAAAATATATCACCGTTTCCACAAAATATTAAGCAGCACAACTGTTTTCAACACTGATAATAATAAGAATGTTTCTTGAGCAGCAAATCAATTTATTAGAATGATTTCTGAAGAAACATGTGACACTGAAGACTGGAGTAATGATGCTGAAAATTCAGCTTTGCCATCATAGGAATAAATTACTTTTTAAAAAATATATTATGATAGAAAACAGTTATTTTAAATGGTAATAATAATATTTCTCAATATTACAGTTTTTACTGTATTTTTGATCAAATAAACAAGCATGCAACCTTGGTGAGCATAAGAAACTTTAAAAAAAAAAAAAGAGATCTTTCTAACCCAAACTTTCGAACAGCAGTGCAATAGGTCATCTAGGTATTCTATGTCAAAAATATATACATACTGCTGCAGCAATAGTTGTATGCTATTTTTTGTGTCTATGTAAGTATAGTATACTGACAATGATGATTCACTCACTGCATAATATTGCATTGGTTTAATTTAAAATGCATATGAAAGATGCAGTGTTACTATGTGTAATGTCTAATTGGGCACAGCAGAAAGAGAAAAATGATGAGAGATGGTGGCTTGAGGGGAACAATTGAACTGTAATAGCGTTTATGGCAGGGTCAGTCTGCTTTAGGTCTGTGTCACACTGTAGGTCTGCCTCATAGTGGTATACTGAAAGTATTGCAACAGACCTGGTACTAATGTCTCTCTCTCTCTCTCTTTTGAGCTCTATCTCATTCTATATTTGTCTCACTCAGTGTTAGCTGCTGATCTGAGAGCAGTTTATTTGTGTAGAAAACCACACCCAGATCAGCATAAAAGGACATCACTTAACTAAAGGCACTCTTTGATATTAGTTCACGTGCTGATGTATTATACAGATTAATTTTGGAGGAATTTAGAGACTCGCTGAATGAAACGGTCCCAAAATACACTGACTCACTCACAAATAAACAAAACACTAAAAACCTTCAATGTTGCCAGGCAAAAAAGAAAAGAAAAGTGCACTTCCATAATGTACTTAAAGTGTTTTATTTTCACACACTATTTTTGTACTTGTACTAAAACTTAATCTTTAGTAGTTCTTAAGGTAATCTTAAAGGGGTCATATGATGCGATTTAAATTTTTCCTTTCTCTTTGAACTGTAACAAGCTCTTGGTGCATAAAGAAGATGTGTAAAGTTGCAAAGACTAAAGTCTCAAATCCAAAGAGATATTCTTTATAAAAGTTAAGAGTCAACCACGCCTACCTAAAACAGCTCGTTCTAACACACCCCCACATGTCTACGTCACGATGTGGGAAGATTTGCATAACGCCGCCCAAATGTTCACGCAAAGAAAGAAGGCATAACTTTGATTCTCACTGTAGTATTGTTGTTGCCGCCGCCGCCATGTCGTGAAGACACTGTGTGATTTGTTGTGAAAGCGAAACTACTTTGTTTGGCCTTCCAAAAGAGGACGATATCTGCTTCGTCATGCCTAGAGCTGATCCGTGCTGGTCGCTGAGGAAATACATCAACTTCGCGCTGTGGATCGCCGGATCGGCTTTCACCGTGGACAAAGCGTAGTCCAGCCCAGGGTCCTCACGTGGATGCTGCAAGCCTCCTTCGTCGAATCCGCCGCCTCTGCTCACTCTAGCCCTCCGGCCATTCCTCACTTTATCCCCCGGTCTCTGCTCACTCAAGCCCGCCGTGTTTGATGCTGTGTTTCGTTGTGAAAGCGAAACTACTTTGTTTGGTCTTCCAAAAATGGACACGACTAGAAATCAGTGGTTAAGTTGTATTTACAACACTGTTCCAGAACAGTTCAACCCAAATATTCAGATGTGTGCAGCACATTTTATGGAGGACCGTTTCCTGATCCTGGGAGAGTAGACTACAATGTCGGCTGTTCTGACTCAAAAACTGTAAGTACGTCTTTTATATTTAAAGAGTTTTTATATTTTATATATTTAAAGCAAATATTTTGTTTGTCATTTCTCCGATCATAAATGCAGTCATGGGTTTTCATGTTTTTGAATCATCGCTCCGGCCTGACAGGGCATCATCACAATATGGTAAGGGACGTAACATTTCCGTCATACGCTTGAGGTATTCGGCCAATCACAACGCACTGGATAGCTGGCCAATCAGAGCACACCTCGCTTTTCAGACCGATGAGCTTTGTAAAAATCGACGCGTTTCAGAAAGCCGGAGCATAGAAGAGAAACAATAATGTACAGTATGTGGAAAATAATGTGTTTTTTTAACCTTAAACCGCATAAACGCATTTCTTTACACCAAATAATGTTATTTTTAGCAGCATCATATGACCCCTTTAAGAAGTACTAAAGAATAATTTTTTGTATATTAAGTACAAAATTAGTGCGTGAAAAATAGAGCACTTAAAGTCAATTATAGAAGTGCACTTTTTTTCGCCTGGGTGTAAGAATGATCTGATTCTTACACCACATTCAAAATTTGGGATTCAAAATCAAATATAAACCTGGAAAAAACCGACACACATTTACACACAAACTTTTTTTTAGTGCTGTCAAACGATTAACCACGATTAATCGCATCCAAAATAAAAAAATGTTGTTTACATAATATATGTGTGTGCACTGTGTATATTTATTATGTATATATAAATACACACACATACAGTATATATTTTAAAAATATTTACATATAATTAATACATGTATATATTTATATTCATATAATTTATATTATATATGAATATATTTCATATATAAACAAAATTTTTCTTAAATATATACATGCATGTGTGTGTATTTATATATACATAATAAATATACACAGTACACATACATATATTACGTCAACAAAAACTTTGATTTTGGATGCGATTAATCGCGATTAATCGTTTGACAGCACTAATTATGATATATTCAAATATATTCAAACATTTTCAATAGTGGTCTCAGTCTTTCGGATTCCACCATATGCTGCATAAACATTTTGTTGTTTTTGCTTTGCAGTGATTTAAATATCAGCATGACGTGAACAATGACAAACAGAAGGAA